GCCGGCCGGCGTGACGCCGCGGCGCGCACCGGCCGCGCTGCCGCCGGCGCGGCCCGCGCCGACGCCCGCGGATCCGGGGGCCCAGGCAGGCGGCGCTGCACCGGCGCCGCTGCCGCTGTGGCAAAGTGGGGCTTGGTGCGGCTTGCTGCCGCCGCCGCTGCTGCCGCATGCGGCGGCGGCACGGCCGAGCGCGGCGTGCGCCTCAGCAGCATACTGGTCAAGAGCCAGCTCGGCGCGGCCTGCCAAGTGCGCCGGCAGTGCCTTGCTGCTGATCACACGCGAGGAGTGGCTGCGCTGCAGCAATGCAGCGCGGCTGCTGAGCGCGCCGGCGCCGCCGATGCTTGCTCCGCTGCGCCGCAGTGGCGATACCTCATCGGCGGTGTGCACCGCCGCAGAAGCATCCGCTTCCGGTCCACGGCGATTATCGCGAGCCTGAGGTTCCGCGCTTACAGCGAATTTGGCGGCCAATACGTTGATGTTCAGGCCGGGCATTAGGCACCGCGATGGACTCAGCGGTCTCGCAACATTGTCCATTGCGCCGGCGTTTACAACTGCACACAGCTACATCTGTGACATTCAGACAGACATGTCTAAGAAGATCTTGGGCCATGGCCATGCGTAGCACCCTTCCTTTGCGCATGTGCCAGTCAAATACAGTCAAACAGGGGTTGCACTGCCGCTCCCCTGGATACCTCATCACAAGCATCAACATGGTGAACAGGGTTCAGAGTGAGCATCAGCCATCTTGCATCTTGCATCGTGTCGAGCGGTTTAGTCAAGTGATGTTAGCGTTGACGACAGCCTGGCTGCTGGGTAACAGGCTGCGACCACTGCAAGGCACTGCTGCCAGGCCCTGATGCCTGAAAGGCACCACCTATTGCTCCAGGCACCTTACATTACACCAAATCGGACGTTATCACGAACTAATTGTGGCTGCAAACTAGCCACGACAATCAACTCTATAAACGCTAGCTGTCACTGCATGGCAGGCTGCGGGCTGCTGCTGCTGTTGTGCATGACAGCAAATCCAGGGCTGTGCTTGTCTGCTGCCTTGGAGGACAGCGGTGACGCCTTGAGTGCCTGTGGGTGAGCGCGCGAGAGAAGGGCAGGGGTTACAGACCTTGCCGTGGATGGTGTATGCTGGCATAATCCATTGCGGCGCAAAACACGCCCTTGTGCAGTCTTATGGGCCCCAAACCCCCGTGGAACATGATGTAGGGTAATCAAGCAACTGAGGGCTCGCAGCCGCACCCACCTGGCCAAGCTGCTCGATCTTGCTGCGTGTGTCCAACAGGCCTGCTGCGAGGCGGTCCCGAGGCGTCCCGCCGCTGCTGCCCTTGCTGGGCGACGCCCCTGCCGACGCGACCGCAGACGCGACCGCCGACCCCGTCCGCAGCCCCGGCAGCAGCGGCGCCCTCGATCCCGGGCTCGCGCGGCTCGTCGCGCCGCCGGCCCCGCCGTTCGCGCGTGCGGACGGGCCCCCGCTGCCGGGCGTGTGCGTGGTCTTGACGCTCCCGTCGCTGGCCGGCGTGCCGCGCGCGCTGCCGGCGCCGCCGCACAAGATGCGCGGCGGCGGCGTCAGCATGCTGCCCGCGAGGATACTCGCGCCCACCTTCACGCCGCCCGGCGTCCAGGAGCCCGCGAGGCTGGACGCTGGAACCCACACCTCCGGCTGCCCCGCGCCGCCGCCGCCGTCGCTGCCGCCCGCCGCGGTGCCCCCGCGCGTGGTCGTCACCCAGGCGTCGCCCTGACTTGCCGCAAGCAGCGCCAGGTGCTGATCCTGCGCCTGCAGCTGCTGCTTGAGGGCGGCGTTCTCCTGCCTCACCGCCTGGTTCTCCTGCGAAAGCTCCATCTTGGCCTGCACCAGCTCTAGCTCGTTGCGCGTCGCATACTGCGCGCCCGCCGGCAGCACCTGAGCCGGCGGCGGCGGGGGCGCCGGCGGCGGCGCGCCGCCGCGCGCTACCTGCGCTTCGAGCTGGCTGATGCGCAGCTGCATGCGCTGCACCTCGTCGCCACCGAGCGGCGGCGCCTCGAGCGGCTGCGGCCAGGTCGCTGCGCGCGCGGCGGCCACGGCCAGGGGTGACGCCGGCTGCCGCGCGGCGGCGGGCCCGACGTGCGGCGGCTGCGGCTGTGCCCGCCCCTCGGCATCCATGGCTGCCTCTGTGGCCGGCGTCAGCCGCATCTGCGTCAATCCCTGCTCCAGGCGGCTCCTGTTGAAGTCCTCAACCAACGCCTGCAGCTCCTCCACGCTGACCTGGCGACCGCCTGGCCGGTCCTCTTCAAACTGCAGGTGCCTGACAGCCTGGTTGTCGCCGCCGCGGCTCGCTGTCGCGGCAGGCGGGGGACTCGTGCCTGCTGCTGCTGCCGCCACGCCATCCTCAGCGGGGCGGGCTGGGGAAGGGGCGCTACCGCCACAGGTCGGGGTCGAGGCGGACGCTGCGCCAGTGGTGCGAGATCGGGCACCAGGCTTGCCGGCAGACTGCTGGGAGTGTGCAGGTAGCGAGGCGTGTGGTTTACGCGCGAAACTCTTGCAGATTTTGTAATGCAAGGGGAACACAGCAGAAAGCAGTACACCAGTTGGAAGTGGTGGCCCATAGACAGTCGCCCCTGCAATCAAATTAGCGCCTGCAGCACAGCACACCTTGGAAGGGTCCGTGTCGCGCCCCGAGTTCTTGCTTGCGTCGGCCACCGCCATTGTGACCTTCTGCTCGATCACTGGCTGGCATGACGTGTCTGCTATCGGAGCTGCCGTTTCATGTGGATTTTCCCACTGAGACAGTGTGGCGGTTTGCGACTGGACCGACACCCGCGGCGCCTGCTGCAGCAGCGCCGCCAGGTCCGTGCTCTCACGCGCGGCGATCTCCCACTGCGTGGTCCGCTGACTAAGGACCGTTTGGAGCTTCTGAAGCTGCACATTGCTGCCACGTCGTGCCCGTGAGGCCGCCAGGCGCGCGGTTGCGAAGATGGAGATCAAACCAAGCAGGAACGACAGCTCCAAAGGCACGGCCAGAGCGGCCGATCGAACAGCTCCCTCGTGCCTCAAGCGCACAAGTTGTTTCAATAGGGCATCGTACTGCTCTGCTGCCACCGCCAGGACGCCCAGCAGCTGCTCCACCAGGTCGTTCTCGCAAGCACAGCCGCAGATGGCCTCCTCCCCAGGGCCTGCTGATGCGCCATCCTCCTGGGTTGCCTGGCCGAAGACGCACACAGCGATCAGCGCCAGCACGAGCACTGAGGTCAGCACGCGCATTGTGCCTGGTCCACAACGAGCCGGAGAGCAAGCCCACCAGCACAATATTCAAGTACAATCATTCAAACGATCGTGGCGTCATGCTCACTCACTGTTGGTTTTCTGTTGCTCACCCAAGTGCGCGGTCACGGTCAGTGCTCAACACCAGTGCCACTTTCCCACCTGCTCAGCTGTGCTGTGCTGTACACTCGCTCCGCCCAGGAGGCCGACGGGGCAGGCGAGATGCACCCTCTGTATCGGAAATAGGAGAAGCGTGTCAATTGGCATTCTCGGGATATCAAGGCCCTCAAGCGGACGAACACGTGCGACGCAACCGCAACGGAGGGGGGAAGCAAGGGCGCCGCAATTCTGAGCGCGTTGCTTTTGAGCCGACACCTCCAGCTTCAGGCTCTTGCTAACGGCGACAATGCAACAACCAAGCCGGCAATATATAATAGCTTGAACATATCACGACCTGCTTCCACACATCTGGCCCCTGCCGAGGTGCCCCGTGCCACGCACAACTTGTGCCACGCACATTGAATGCTGCTGGGCAACGTTTGACCATTTTGGTAGGGCAAGCGAGCCCTCGGCCGCAGCTGAAAGAAGCCCTGAACTCTGGAAGAGTCACTAAAGCGCCAGCGGCGCTGCATTGCAACACACCGGCGAACCCGCAGGAAGTGCTCACAGAGCGTGAGTTTGGAGCCTTGGGACACTCAGCAGGACGCCATCACACGCACACCATCATCACCGTCATCTGCAGCCGCAACTCGGTGCTCACTGAGTTTCACATCTGATAGTTTCCATCATGTTAAATCGCAGTACGTCTGGCTGGCGCGTTGTCAACCCACACAGGCGACCGCCCGCAAGCCGACATACGCTGGGACGCAGACTGTGGCATTTGTGAAACCGTGTACGTGTGCACGGCCGAGCCTTACATGTGCACGGCTGCATAAAGAGTCTGACAGGGCACGCAGCTGAGGTGTGGCATTGCGGCAGGGAATGCAAGCGCAGGTGGGCGATGTACTGGTCAGTCTGCACGTGCGGTCATGGGCGGCAGGGTCAGCAACGATCGGTGTCCAGCATAGTAGGAGCTGGCAAATACACTCATGTAATGTTTCATTAATGCCATTTCATCGCTCGTTCAGTCGCAGTGTCGTCAGGGAACTGCACGGACAATGACAGCCAGCAGCACACGAACTCAAGGCCAAAGCTTCGTTGATTCGTCCCATTATCAGAGCGCAAGGTGAGCCGATTATTTACGTCAATTCGCCGGTAGCTTTGTCCCGACAAGGCTAGCTACCCGTCCCTGCACGGTTCCTTGCTCTCCTGCACGTGACAGGGTCCTCCCTTGGGCCTGTGATGCCTTTATAGGCAGCACCAGACATATCTACTGGCTGGCAGCGGCCGCCGCCGAATCGCGTCATGCTCGTCCGCTGACTGAGCGCACCGCGCGTTGCGCTGCTGCCCCATCCACCTTCCCTCCACCGCTAAGCAGGTGCCACCACAAGAGCACAAGTTGTACAAGCGACCTACCATTCTCCGTACCTCCTTCAAAGCCTTCAAAGCTGTACGTCATGGCGACGCTGTTTGAGCGCGCCCCAGCGCTGCAGAGGCTGGCCGCCAAGGCCCAGGTAGGGCCCACTGCTGGAGGGCTGACCGTTTAGCAGCTGGCGCATTGTCCATTGCCAGCATGAGCCTCGCATGTTCAAGCCATACAGCACATCAAGCACACACCTGCTTATGCTTGTGACGGGCAACTTCGTGTGCACTGCCGCCCGCTGAACCCTGCTTAGCATTCAGGCTGCTGCCAGACTATTGCGTGTTAATCCTGCTGACCCATTACAGGAGCTCACTTGTGACCAGAACTTCACCATCGTGATGCCAAAAAATTCCAGCAAGGTGGGCACAGACCAGCCCTGTTTGTAAATTGCTGGTTGAGTGCTTGGAAGCATGCAAGCTCCGTTCCTCAGCCTCATGGCTCCTTGATCACAGTCGGTCTCGGTGAGTGAGTCACTGAGCTCTGCTGCTGGCTCCTGCTGGCCACGTCAGCCCAGGCGCTCAGCTTTTGGGCATGCCCCCGGCTATCATGCCACCACTGTGCCCAACTGTCCCCCGCCTGGACGACGAATTGCCCGCAGGGGGGCTTGCAGGCCCCGCCGCTGGACCTCATCCGCAATCCCTTTGAGGACATTGCTGATGTGGACGACGACGAGATGCGTGCCGAGGTGGGTGCGTGGATAGCGTTGCGCGCGGCGCAGCGCATGTGCTGGCGGTTGATGGGGCACCCGACCCCGGCGTTTTGATGGCAGGCGGTTGCTGTGTTGAGCCGCCCCAACATGTTGACGCTGAGCATGCATTGCGGGCCGGGTTGTGCCACAACGCTTGCAACATCTTCCCATCTTCATCTGCCGCACCAGCTGCATAGCCCCACTCGATCGCGACCTGACAAATCCTTGTCCCTTGATGACACCATCTTCGACCTATGTTGCAGCTGAATGCGCCCCGCAAGAGGACCTACGCAGACGCGCTCACGGGCAAGGGCACCAGGACAGGCCCCTGCCAGGGCCCCAAGGGTCGCGTGCGCAAGAGCAAGCGCGCCAAGAAGAGGGCGGCTGCGAAGGCGCCCCTGAAGGTGGCAGGCAACTGCCCGGCGTCCGTCAAGTGCAAGAAGGTCGGCGCGACTGGAATGTGCAGCGGAGGCAAATATGTTGTTTGGTGCAGGAGCGAGGGACAATGCGCGCCGGTGGTGATTTGTTGCCTCGGCTGTTGATCGCGGCATCTCACATCCAATGCGATGCGCCACGTGCACGCACAGGTCACTGACGGCAACAAGAAGGCGCCGTCCGAGGCGCACTCTGCACCCACCGATGGCAACGAGGCGCAAGACTCTCCTGTGATCGGAGCCAACGCCAAGTCGGAGCCCGCACCCCACAGCTCCCGGCGGTCCAGCTGGGGCAGTGCTGTCAGCAGGGGCTCGCTGCCCAGGGGGCTCTCCACGGCGCTGGTCGTCGCAGCGAGGGACGGCGGCGCCGACTCGGAGGGCGGCTCTGGCACGGTGAGCATTGGGCACGTTGGAACTTTCCAAGGCGCAGGGCGGGGGTTGGCTGAGAACCTGTGCTGGTGGTGATTACAAGGCTGGGCTGGATCAGTGGGCATGCCTGTGCTGTTCATTCATGCCAGTTGTGTACCTCTGATTGGTGCGCTTCCCAACCTGAGTGAGCAGCCGGCCTTGCCCGCCCGCCTCACAGAGGGGGAGGCAGTGGCCATCAAGTGCGGCGCCAAGGCTGAGGGCGCGGACGCAGCTGAGGGGGATGGCGGCGGCAGCAGCACTGTTGAGTGCGAGGCCAAGGGTCAAATCAACGGAGCCAAGCAGACGGCGGCTGTCAGGAGGAAGAAGGGCCGCAAGCGCGTGCGAAAGGTGGGACAGCATCACAGGTCATGATTTTGTAGTTGGGAACTGATGCAGTTTGCTTGTTTAAACCTCGTGGTTCATGCGTTGCCTCGGTACTAGCCAACCCTAATATTACTGGCCAGCCGGCTATTATGCATCATAGGCCAATCTCCGACGTAACCCACCTGTGCCCTGCACTCTTGTGGGATTGTCGTGCACACAGGCCACCACCTCCTGCGCCGCCAAGTGTGCCGACGGTGCCAAGCGCAAGGCCATGGCGCGTGCTGCCAAGTCGGGCACCAAGGAGGTGGGCTCGATTGCAAGCGGAGCCCGGTGGACAG